CTCTACGCGAGCAACCACCTGCAGTGCCTCTTGGCACCCAAGCTAACTGCCTCTCTGCAGTTAACTGACACGGACTATGCTCGGTCGTTCAAAGCTCTCTGCAGAGCCGAGATGGAGTCTCTCAGGAGCTCGGGACAGCAGGCTCTTCTTGCTCAGGGCTCTCGTGAACCCTGGCAGGCTTCGCCTCTCGACATGGTGAAGGCCATTGTCTCTGCTCAGACAACTCTTCGGCAAAGGAACGAGAAGAACTCTTGGGTGGTGGCAGGACTCCGCCGCAACGGCATCCTCGCCTACAAGGCTTCTCTCTCCGAGCAGAAACTCGTTCCCCTCTCCTCTGAGGAAGTCGGAGGTGTCCAAATGGGCTTCTCGACCTTTTTTGTTGGTTCATCAACCCTTTCTCTTTTCATTAAACATTTTGAGGTTGAACTCTTTCATTGCTTTTGGATTCGCAGAGGCTCTGAGCGGATCGATGTCTCTTGGCTGAGAGATCGCTTTCTCTGGGTGGACAAGAATCTTGTTCCTCTGAAGCCAGACTTCAGCCTCATCACGGCCTCTAAAGAGCTGGCTGACCTCTACGAGTGGGACTTTCACAATCCCGCCTCTGCGCCAGAGGAGGACAAAGCTCTGATGGACATCTCGGAACTGCCCTCTGAGCTGCAGCTGCCATGCATTGAAAGTGGGCTCTTGCGCCTTCCTCTTGAACTGCAGCTTGCAGCTCAACGCCGCTCTATCTCGACACCTGTCTCTGTGAAGGACAAGAAAGCCTCTAGGAGGTACGCGAAGATGGTGAAGTCTCTGGCAAAGAAACGAGTCTCTGCCAAGCTTCGCAAGGCTTTGAGAGACAAGCTGAAGACGCAGTCTCTCGGCCAGACTCTAGGCAAGCTCGTGCCTCGTGCGGGCGAGGCCTCTGAAGCCATCTCTCAGAAGAAAAAGAAGCTCCAGAAGCTCAAGGTCAAGAAGACCGCTGACGGCAAGGCTCTCATGAAGGCTCTCACGATGAATGCTGCCGAGGCTCTGGCGCTCCAAAACTCCGACGTCGAAGCTGAAGAGGCCACTCTGGCAGAAGTCACGAAAGGACAGCCCCCCCGCCCCCGCCCGAGCTTTTTCTTAAACCTTACTAAGTGAAGACTTAATTTCTCCTGTTCCTTTTTCTTTGCAAGAAAGGACCTCTGGCGGGCCGGGTCTGTCGGGTCTTGCAGCTCGGCGTCCACTGTGGCAAGGAGGTGACCTGCTCTCACCACAACCTCAGCAAAGGCACGGTGACTCTCCCGTGTCTGGGCGACAGCGTGGCGACTTTGACATTGCCTGACTCTCTGGTTGTGGAGAAGGAGGCCTCTTGGCTGAAGCCTCTGTCCTGGAAGCACATGCGGCTCTCTCGTGAACTCAAGCAGAGGGTCCTCCACTCTTGCGGAGGCTCCCAGCTCTTTCTCGACAAGAGTGTCTACGTGCCGGAGCCGATTGAGCTCTTGAAGACTCCGCCTCAGATGCTGCTGGACCAACACATCCTCTATGGTTTCGAGCTCCTCCGATGGCATTTCAGCCAGGGCTCTGAGAATTTCTTCTTTGAGCAAGGCATTCGCATCGTGGACCCCAAGCTTTCTCTCCAGTACATCACGAAGGAGTGCTTTGATGTCTCTATCGTGGAAAACGCCTTGAAACGCGAGGGTGAGCTCTTCAAGACGCTCTTCGTGCCTGTCTGGGGCCAGGGTGATGGCCCAAAGCATTGGACTCTGCTGCACTTGGACCAGGAGTCTGATGAGGTTCGTATCAAGTACTACGACTCTCTGAACGATGAGGAGCCGCACCCTTGCTGCGCTGCGAATGCCCAGGTTCTGTTGGACTTCCTCTTCCCCGGCAAGACTTTGCCCCAACGTGAAGACTCTCAGAGGCAGAAATCTGACGAGTGTGGCTTCTATGTCCTGGCCCACATCTTCGAGGTGGTAGCTCTCAAGCGAGGGGAAGGCCCCGCGAGCAGGGGCTGGAGCTCTGTGATCGTCATGGATCTCATGAACTTCCTCAGAACATGGCTCGGGCAGCTCTCTGGCGAACAAGACAAGCTCCAGAACGAGCAGGCCAGCAGGCCCCAAACCCCCCTAATGAAACCCTAACTAAGCCCTAATTAGGGTTTAGGTCTTTAGGATTTCGGGCTTCTTTGGGTGTTCTCTGGCCCCAGGCCTCTCGCTTGAAGTCTCTGGAGAAGAGCCGACTCAAGAACCTCAAGGTCTCTCAAGAGCTTGCCAAGAAGGCCTCTGTCGCAGCAGAAGCAGCCTCTCAGGCAGCGAAACTCGCTGCCAAGGTTTTGTCTCTAGGCAAGGAACCTGAGCTCTCTGATCTTCCTAAGGAACATCAGGACAAGATTTCTCAAATTAGACTCTTTGGCTGCTCCGTCTGCAGTCGTTGCAGATGGGTCTCTGGCTGCCTCTTTTGCGACGGCCCCAAGGCCGAGCGTTATTACCTCAACCAGTTAAGGCACTCTCTAGGACTGCCTCTGCTGAAGTGAAGCACTCTCAGCTGTGTGGTCTCGGCCTCGAGTGAAAAGAGGAGTACTCTCGGAAGCACATTTGGGAAATTCTCCCGGAAAAGTTTCCACTATTACCACCCGTTTTTTGATTACGACCCCCCTCAAAATGGGGTTTAGGGTTCGGGGCAGCCTAACATAATGGAAACTGTTCATGAAACAAACTTTTGGGCAAAAATCCCGGCCGGAAAAGTTGCCACTATTGACACCCGTATTGTAAAGGTGACCTTAACATTAGGCATAACCCATACAACTGTAGGTAAAGAGGGCCCCAGTACTTGTTTGTAGGTTATTCGGGTAAAAGAAGGGTTCTTAGGTCCCTAAACCCTAAACCCTGAACCCTGAACCCTAAACCCTAAACCCTAAACCCTAGACCCTAGACCCTAGACCCTAAACCCTAGATAAAAAGTAGGCTTTGGGGTCTTAAGGTAAATCCTAGACTCAGGCTGGAACCCCCTTTCGGGTTCAGGGGTTTCGGGTTTAGGGGTTTAGGGGTTTAGGGGTTTAGGGGTTTAGGGGTTTAGGGTTTCGCCCAAGCTCAAAGAGGTCGACAGTGTAAGAGCCCGAGCCATGTTTTTTGGGTGGGCGAAACCCTGAACCCTAAACCTTATTGTTCCAAAGGGAGGGCTGCATGAATTATAAAGAGCTGAGAAAGCAAGAGCCGACAAATCAAGGGGCTACAGGGACCTTAGGGGTTATGTGTGGGCTACCTAGGTATATTTTGGACTATATCAGGTGTGTGTGTGTGTGTGTGTGTGTATGTGTTTACATATATATATATGTATATATATATATGTATATATATATATTTATATATATATATATACACATATATGTGGTACCCCCCCCCCCCCCCAGTGACCTACCCTTTTTCGCCTTGTCTCAAGTCACCCAGCTGCACTGCAAGCAAACTCGGTGTGCAATATAGCGTATTTCCTAGGGCGTAGACTAAAATACAACTAAAATCGCATACACGGGACAGTAGAAAAACCAAAATACCAAAACCACAAAAACCAAAACCAAAAAAAACAATTTTCCGGAACCCTCAGGCATCCCTATGAGGCTTCTCGAAGAGTCCCGGATTTTTTTTTGGTTTTGCTATTTTTGGTTTTTTTTTGGTTTTGGTATTTTGGCTTTTTGGTTCGCCTTCACGGTCACGAGGCAACAACTACGAATTTTTAAGTGTGCTTATGCTAATTGTGCTTTTCAGAAATAGTGTACAACTGGTCTTTCTAGTGCTTCAGAACTATTTGTTTCGTTATTATGCACGTAGAACCACTTCGCTTCTTTTTCAACTAGTGTTTAGTGCATCTTTTGGTTGTACTCAAGTGTAGTAGACCTTATTCAGCCATTACTTGGTGCTCTGGTATCTAAATTCGCATGGGTAATATTTGCCTGGTAAAAGCGATTAATTATCTAGAAGCAGCATTTGCAATACTTGTCTTGAGAAAAAGCATTTATTGCTTAGAATCGTTTGCTTGAAAAGTGACTCCTACTCGTCCAGGGATACCCCAAAACCCTATAATCCAAACTTCACCAGAGATCCTCCTGAAAAGCTTGCGCTGTTGGATGTTTTTTTGTATTTGTGAATTTGCTTGTGTATGGCCTTCACTAAGTACTTTTCTAGGATTCTTGTGCATTTTTTAAGCCTGATTGTGCAAGTTGTGATTTTCAAACATAGTATATATGTGGTCTTTATTGAATACTTCAGACATCTTTGTTTCATCGTTATGTAAGTAGAACCGCTTCTAGTTCCATTATTGTGCATTTTTAAGCTTGCTTATGCAAATTGTGCTTTTCAGACATAATATATAAGTGGTCTTTATTGAATACTTCAGCAATCTTTGTTTCATTGTTATGTAGGTAGAACCGCTTCCATTTCCGTTAGTGTTTATTTCGTATTTGTTTGAGTATGGTCGTTTAAATAGTATTCACTTGAGTCGAATTGGGCTATTTGCTTAAGAATTTCTCTAGTAGTTAAATTCGCATAGAACGAATATGTCAAAAACAATGTTTCATGAATAAAGGCATTTCAGTGGACTTTGCAGATAGTATTTTACTTTTACTTTGCCTGGTATAAACACAACTGTTTCAATGCATTAGTTGCTCAACCAAGCACTATTTGCCCTTTAAACCACACTTTGCCATATTTTGGTTGAACATGGTGCTTATTTCGTATTTTGGTTGAGTATGGTCCTTTAAATGGTATTCACTTGAGTCAAATTGGGCTATTTGCTTAATACTTACTCTAGTAGCTAAATTCGCATAGAATGAGTATTTCAAAAATAAATAAAGTTTCATGAATATGTAAACGTAAGGTATTTCAGTGGACTTTTCAGATAGTATTTGATTCATACTTTGCCTAGTACAAACACAATTGCATAAATACAGTAGTTGCTCAACAAAGCATTATTTGCCCTTTAAACACACATTTTGCCATATTTTGGTTGAGAATGGTGTCTATGTCGTATCTTGGTTGAGTATGCTCCTTTAGCTAGTATTCACTTGAGTCAAATTGGGTTCTTTGCTTAATAATTGCTCTAGTAGTTAAATTCGCATAGAATCAAGAAAAACATTTCACTATTTGATTAATACTTTGCCTCGTACAAACACAGTTGTATAAATGAATTAGTTGCTCAACAAAACAGTAATTGCCTTTTAAACGCACAATTTGCACAGAAAAAAACACAGATCTAAACATCTAAAAACAGCATTGTCCGCTTCAGATTCAAAATGTAGATTAATCCAATGCTGGCTTATCGGGGTCTGTGAGGTGGGTGTCCCAGTAACTGTCCTTCATTACCCGGTGATTGACTACGCGACTTTTGGGCCTTCGAAGTTGTTTTTTGTTAACAAGGCCTAAAAAGGCCTAACAAGGGTAGGTCGCTGGGGGGGGGTAGCATATATATCTATATATATATATATATACATATATAGCGGTTATCTAGGGGAAGAAGACTCCTTATGCCCCTCAATTTTAACTCAGTAGGTTCCGGGCAGCACCCGAACCTAGAGTCCGCGATCGCACGGGTCAGTTTTCAAGGTCCTTTGAACATCCGGCGTGTCCCTACAAAGGAAACGCGGCATTGCTTAAGGGCCCTAAACCCTAAACCCTAAACCCTCAACCCTAAACCCTGAACCCTAAAGCCTAAACCCTAAACCCCCTTCGGGTGCCTCATGAGCGTGTAGACTCGGCAGGCCTTTTCCATGTGGAGGGTTTTGGGTTTAGGGTTTATTGGCTACAGGGTTTAGGGTTTAGGGTTTCGGCTTCTAGAGTTGAGGTTTAGGGTTCAGGGTTTGGGGTATGGGGCTTCTAGGGTGTACTGTTTTCAGGGTTTGGGGCTCTGAGGGTGTATAGGGTTTAGAGGGTTTATAGGCTTTGGGGCTTCTAGGGTTTATTTGGTTGAGGGCTTGTAGGATTGATAGGGTTCAGGGCTGGTGAGGGCTTCCCCTACTGTGCCATTGTGCGAGAACCTCGTGCTCCAGTCAGGGGGGAAAAAGCATCGTTTGCGGCCTGCAATGTGCTTGGGTTTAGGGGTAGTTCTCCCCGAAAGCCCAAGAACCCTAGACACCCCACAGACCCCAAACCCTCAGCACTCCAACACCTGTATCTCTTAGGAACTAACCAGCTTTGAGGTGTGGCGTTGAATTGGGGTTACCGGGATCTGGGGTTTCGGCTTGAGCCACTTGTGGCGATCCAGGCCTGATGCGGGCATTCCCCAACAACCCCCCCCAAAAAAAAAAGAAAAAACAAACAATATGTATATATATACATATATATATATATACTCCAAAGACCACAGTTTGGGGTTTACAGTAAGGTTTAGGGTTTAGGGTTCGCACAACTCCTAAACCCTGAGCCCTAAACCCCTTGGTAAAGTGTAGATGGCCACAAGAACCCTAAACCCTAAACCCGAAAACCCTACACCCTAAACCCTAAACCCTAAATCCGAAAACCCTAAACCCTAAACCCTCAAAACGGGCCCCAAGACAATTTGGAGCTCATCATCCAGGACACGGCCACGGAACATCCGGCATCGCCCGAGTCTGACGTGTGAGCGCGGAGACCCTGGAGGGAGGATAGGGTTTAGGAGACCCTGGAGGGAGGATAGGGTTTAGGGTTTGGGGTTTGGGGTTTGGGGTCCAGGAAACCAAAAGAATAACCTTAAGAGAGAACCGAACTCAGGGGAACCAGGGAGAAGGTAGGGGCCAAAAGAGGAGTACCAGCCTAAGCTCGGGAACCCCAAACCCCACAAGACACAACCCCAAAACCCCGAACAAGAGGCACCTAAGGGAAACCCTACTGGGGACAGGCCGAAGCCCACAACCCCGGTAACCCTGTGACCCTGTTTCATCTTGAGCCAATCGATTTGTGCGTGTCATCCTTGCTGCAGGGGCCATGCCAGCTTTCCAGGCTCCCCCTGAGCTGATGCACAAATGCATCGGATCATCTTTGTGACCTTCGGGCGAGGCACCTGGTCAAAAGCCTCCATTGAAATCGCCAGTAAAGAATATCGCCACATCCCAGCCAGTCAACGAATGACGAACTCCGTGACTCCCTTCCAAGTGCGGTCCAGTCGTCGCTTGGCGTCCACCTTGTAACGGAAGATATCTCGGATGACCTGGGTCTCCCCATCATTTTGAAAGGTGACATAGGTAACGCGGCCACCAGTCAACTCCTCCAACCCGAAGGGTCTGGCAGCATCGCAGGGGTCAAATAGTTGGATTCGTGGTTGTCGATGGACCCTTACATGCCATCCCCCTCGTGTCGTCCAATAATCCTCGGATCCGGCTGGCTCCACCGAACGTGGTGGTCGGACTGGGGGCGCCTTGCGTGGAGGCATAGGCGCCGACGAAGAAGCCGTAGGAGCCGATGACATCCCAGTGGATGGAGTCGGCATCATCCCAGGGGGCGTGCTCGAGATCATCCCAGTGGATGCGTTCGACGCCGTCCCAGTGGCCGTGGTTGTTCCCATCCCAGT